TATATTAGAGGAGCTATTTGGCCTTTTCGTTTCTTGCAGTGTGGCTTAGTCCATGGACAAGGGATCTACATGGACAAAATGCGAAAAGAGTTTTCGATATAATTTATTGTTATTATTATTATTATTATTATTATTATTATTATTATTATTATTATTATTATTATTATTATAGTTGTGATTTCTTTCATTTTTGATATAATAATTGACTGATAAATGATTATTTTTTCTATAATAAATGCATGAAATTCTGTTTGATCAGTTATTAGATAAGTTTTAATTATTATTTTATTGATTATTTTGATTATTATTATTATTATTTTTATTGTTAACTGATTAAGTTTTGTAGTTAGTTCTTTTATTTGTTTTGCTAATGAATTTTGTACTATTTGATTTGATATAATTGGTATGTTAAATAAATTTGGTGTAATTATTGTTTGACTATTGAACTGATTGACTTGTCTATAACTAGAGTTATAGAGTTGTGTAATTTGAATAGCATTATTTAGAGTTGCTAATCTGAATGAACTGATGAAAAATTTAATTTCTGGTTTTAGACCTTCCAAAAATAATATTACTTATAAGTAAACTGGATAAGCATTTGTTGAATTGATTTAGTATAACAATTCTCTTATAACAAATAAGTATTGTTTTACATTTTCAGTTGATAATTGTTTTCTTTGATTGAGTTGTTGTTACCACTCATATATTTTCTCAATTATTCTAAATTATAGTTTGAATTGATGAATAAATGATGCTCATTCATTGGCTGTATTACCAGGAGTATTTGGATTTTATTGTTCAGGTTAATTTGCTATTATTATATACTTATTTGCTAACCAGATACTGAAAGATTCTTTTAAGTAAGCTTCAACAATTTTTATATCAGTTATATTATTTGCTTGACATGCACTTTCAAAATCTTGTAGTCATCCAATTGAATCTTAACTATCATTATAAAAGTCAACTATCTTTGTAAAGGATAATTCTCTTAGAAATGCTGGTATAGCTACTTGAATATTGATTATATCAGCTAAATTATCTAAATTGGTCATCAAGATGTTGAATTAATAGTTATCCATTGTTGGTAATAAATTATTTTCTGGATTTGGAGTTTGAATTAGAATTTGTTATTGAAGTTCTTCTTCAATTTGATTTTCTTCAATAATTTATATTGGTAGATCACTTTGAATTATAATTTGATTTTCTGAATTTCAGAGTTTAGCTAGTTGTTTTTAAAGTTTTTGTTGTCTTCAATAAGCTTTTCTTTGTATTAAAAAATTTGTAATATCTTGTTGTAGATGATATATATATACTTAAATTTCTTGTTTGCTTTGGTAAAAATATTGTTTTAGTGATTTGCTGAGTTGATTAATTAATCTGGTGGTTGTATTTCCTATATAACTTTCATCAATTATTTCAGTTATTTGTTGTTTTATTTTCTTGAATTATTCTCTGATTAAAGTTTTTTTTAAATTAACTTTGTCTCTTAGTTCTTCAAATAATTAATTTATTTCAATACTAGTTAATTATGTTAGATTCAGTTAATTTATTAATTTGGATGATTTATTCACAAAGAATTTGTTTACTAATTAATTTGTTGTATTTGATGTCTTTAAAGATTTCTTTTTCACAGAGGGAGCACCAAAAATTTGTTATCATTTCCATTGATTTTATTATCTTTCAGATATAGATTATATGTTCTTTGCATATTTTAATCAAGTAAGAGAGTTATTAAAGATTTTTATATATTTTAAGTAACTAAGGTTGAAACAGACTAATTTAATAAAGATAGATAATAATGTGTTCATTTTGTTGAACTGTTAGAATGAGTTCAAAAATCTTCTTTTAATTCAAATGATTTAGTTATCAAATAATTTTCTTTTATTGATTAACTTTTTAATAAAATTATCTTCTTTTTTATTATAAATTTAAATAATATTAATCAACTTTGCAGGATAGTGATGAGAGATTAATTATGTTATTATAAATAATATTATTTGTTACAGATGAAAGCTCTTTTAAATATAAAAGAATACAAATAAGAAAAAAAGAGGTAATTAATGCTTGACTGAAAATCTCTAATTCAAGACTTATAATATGACTCACTTCTAAGAAGATTTTGTCAAAAGAAAATTAAAATGAATAAGAAAATTCAAAAGTGAATAATTATAAAAGTGTAAGAATATTAATTCTCAAAAGATTATTTTTCTAAGCTAAGATATATATTATATTATATAAGTTATTGTTACTCAATCTTCAAATATTAAAGCTATTTTTGATTAATATTATGGTGCTTGCCTGATGATTATATATTGCTCGCTCTAATGTTATATAAATTTTACTATTAATATCAATCAAATTTGATTATGTAGATAATTAATACATGTTTTTCATACTAATAATAATAATATGAATTAAATATAATTAGTATTAATGTAAAATGAAATAATATAAAATAAAATAATATAAAAATAGAATAAAATAGAATGAAAATAGAATGAAATAGTATGAAATAAAAATGGAATAATATAAAATATAATAAAAATAAAATGAAATATAATAAAAATATTATGGGTAAAATATGAATAATATAAAATAAATATGAATATAATTTACAAATCACATGTAAATCAATTATCCAATTAAAATAAATTATAAAAAGTCATATGATATGTCAAAATTCATATCACAATAATACTAAATTGTTTGAGAAATATTTAGATAAAGAAAAAATCACTTATAAAATTTATTAATAAAAATGAAAATAATAAATCATAAACAAATATTAAAAATAAATCAAGAAATTAAAAAAGTGTAAAACAAATAATAATAACTATTTTCTTTATTATTGTTTGACTGCTTAATCTAATCTTAGAAAGCAATCAAAAAATTATTTTCTTATTTTCTATCAAGATTATTTTTTTAGTTTCTTTAATCTCAATTTGAGCAACTTGATTGTTTTGTTGCTCTTTCAATAATTTGTTTTCCTCTTCTAATTGCTTAATTTTTTCTTCTAAACTCTTTATTTTATCCAATAATTTCTGTTTCTGTCTTTTACTTCACTCTTGAATTTTTCTTGAAGCTTAACTATTTTTAATCTCCAGTACTTCTTCAGCAGTGACTAACTTATAACTCCTTTTACAAAGAATTTATTTTCATTTATAAAAAGTATTAGTATTAAATCTTTATTGCAATCATAGCCATACTTGTGACTAAGAATATTTCGATTTGTTTTAGTCTGAAGTCTCTCACACTATCATATTTTTGGTATGTGAGACATAATAAATCATCAACATGTTTCAAATTGTATAGTTAATAAAAAGCATGTACTAAGTAAAATACAGATCATTAATTGATCAAAAATTTGTAATTAATGATTGTAAAAAATTTTTATTTCGTTATTTCATCAATATTTTCAAAAATAAAATCAGAAACAATATCGATATTTTTTTCTCTAAGATTTTCATATTTTGCATTAAAACAGAAAATAAATTTGTTGCTTCAATTTATATTTGGTTATCTATCCATTCAATTCCAGCATCAATATCTTCATCATCAGATGATATGTGCATATCTCCTTTTTTTCTTTTTTTTCCAAAACTATATGCTTCAAAATTTTTTATTTTATATGTAAATCCTCAATAACTTATGAAATTTGCATTCAATCGGAATTATCTAAACATTTTATAGCTTTGGTCAGATATTTTAAATTTATGCATTAGAAAATTTCCTATTCTAGATTAAAAATTGGCAATTTTTTATTGATGATTTATTGTGTCTCAAACCATAATTCGTTGAGTTTACAGTTCTCGCAAGTTACAATATATGATAAATGCTACTCCGAATAATATTCATTTCATTTTTTTTTATTTTATTTTTTTGTTTTGTTTTGTTTTGAAAATAATATTTATGCTATGAATGAATATCAGATGCCTTTATTTTAATCTAGCCGCCAACTCTTATCTAGCTGCTAGTAATTTTATAATCTCTTTATGACTAGTGATATGAGATACAGTTTCGGATTGAAAATTCAGATGAAGCTGCTGGATGCTTAATTAATTCTTTTATGATATCGGGATACTCTAAGACGGATATGATTACAAACTTCATCAATTCAAATATTTCAATGAATTGGAACCGAAAGTTCCAACAAATTGGAAAAACTACGGAGATTTCTTCTTCATCCTTATAGTCCTCTTTTCCTCTTAAAGATAACGTTCTAAGAGTTGGTCGATCTCCTATAATACAACATTTAAAAAAAGGTTACGAATGAGAGCCTGTTTTTTGATCCAAATAACAGTTAACATAACAAAAAACTCACTTATTCCTTGAATCGTCAGCGAATGAATTTTCTCCGCGAATCTTATATCATAGTCCAAATAGTTTAGAAGCATTGAATTTAAGGAATCAATTCGCTCTTGTATAGTCTTACATGTATCTCCAACTGGATGCGCCTTTAAAAAGTCTGTTGGAGCACCGCTCATTTCCAAAAACACAAACTGCCGGCTGTCCGAAAGCCGGACTCCAATTATATCTGCCTTCATTCGATCTTTGTTCGTGGTATTGCCTTCGAATCTAAGTCGTTCATGTGTTGGTTCAACATCACGTTCGATCCTATGGTTTACAATTAATATGTAAGTAGTTAACAATGAGTTTATAAGTTAGAAAAAGAATAGCACTTACCAATGAAATTTAATTCTGTTTATAAATATTGCTTGCATGTAAGTGAAGAGCGGTGAAATTTTATTAAATGAAAGTATAAAATAGATATATTTAGTCTTTTTTTTATGAGAATAGAATACCATCTGAATACACTGTAAATTTTATTCTGAGGAATGTTGATGCGACCACGATGGGTTATGGTAGTAACTTATTGACTAGACTGCCGCCGCGCTTAACCAACCCTTGCAAGACTGTGCGACCAGAATTCTTACGCGATGGATTATGGTAGTAACTATTGACTAGACTGCCATCACGATTAACAATCTGCAAGCTCAGAATATACTTGTAATATAAGACGACTTACGTTTGAAAAAGCGTTCAAAAGCTCGTTTATAACGTCGTTGTTCATCATCAAACCATAACGATAAGACATTAGAGAATTGGAACGCCTAAAAAATCGCAGTCCCGTGATAATTAGCCACACAAGCCTCAATGGATTATTGGTTAAAGATTAACTAACATTAACACTCAAAAAATTAAGGGGTTTCCCCTTACGAATTTACTAATTTCTCCCCAAGTTCTGATTGGTTGAGGATATTAAAGGTTAGTTTGATCTTTAGGATTAAGGGTTAGGGAAATTACTTGTATCCAATCAGAACTTTGGGGAATTAGTAAATGCGCCCTTACCGTTATCGCATTAACTATTTAACGTTAAGGACCTCTCAAATCATCTTTTATCCTTTTATCCACATATAGAAATGTATACTACTATCGAGAAAATTGGTGACTATCCTTCTCCATACAGACGTGTAATTCTTTTAGCACTTGATGGGCTTGGGTTATACGCAAAAAAATTAACAGATGACGGAGAGCTTCCTACTTTCAAAAGGTTTTGGGAAAGAAGCCGGAGCGTGTTCAACGCGAGAGCACAGCTTCCGTCAAATAGTGCCGAGAATTGGGGCTCGATTCTTCATGGCGTGGTTCCCAAAAAACATGGTCTAACTAATGTTATTGTGAATTCAGGACGCCCTTATGATGAAACTAATGGTTTTGAAAGTGTCTTTAAGATTTTAGAAAAAAGATTTAAACAAGTAAAACTTGCTTCTTTTGCTGCCTGGGCATCAATAAACACCGGAATAATTGAACAATCGATACCAATGGAACGCTATGCGCCCACTACCCACGAATCAAAACCGATACAATGGTGGCTATGGTTCAAACATCGTTGTCTAAATAACTCTGCATACGATGAATATGTAGTAAAAAAGGCTTGTGATTACATTACAAAGAAAGAAAACTCTGACGTAAAATTACTATCTATACATTTGGTGGATGTGGACGAATACGGACATGGACACGGATGGGGTGGTAAATACTACAATAAACAATTGCGAAAAATGGATACACGTATAAATCAGATATTGAAGGCGATTGATGATGCGGGATGGACCGATGATTCGCTCGTTGTTATGACGACAGATCATGGTGGAATTAATAAGGGGCATGGTGGTGAATCTATAGAAGAGGTGTCTGTGTTTTTCTCTCTGCTTGGACCAGGTTTACAAAAGAATGGTAATATTGAGGAAGGTGTGTCTAATATGGATTTAGCGGCGATTATCTTAAAGGCTTTGGGTGTTGAAGCACCCGAGTGGTTTGATGCGAAATTACCTAATAACATTTTTGATAATAGCAGTCTTTTATTGGGTGAACAAGTAAATTGAGTTCTTATAGTTAATTGTGGTTATATTTATTTAATTTATCATTTTTGATATCCACATATAACAATGTACTAAGAGTATGGAGAATAAGTTATTGTAGTTTCTTAATTATTACTATTATTATCCTATCAGTTATATAATGACTCGTTTCTCTATATACACATAGTGATTGTCAATATAACGGATTGAGGTCCAGAACAGTCTAATAAATCACCGTCGATATATCAATAATATAACGGTCATAAAATATATATTTCTCAGTCTAATCAATATTACACATCATATATATAACTGTGCTTCAAATATAATCTATTCAACACTTTATTGACTTATAAATATCAAAATTATAAAAAATTAATCTTAATTTATATAAAGGAAAGAATTTATTCTTAATTAAATATGAAATTACACAAGCACAAAGCTTATAATAAATAATGCTAAATAAAATAAATATTAATACTTTCGCAGACATCCATCTCGTCCCGCGGCATAAACCTTTCGTCCATTATCTATGGCACGAATCGAGTAAACTGGATCAATATCAAATCCAATGTACTCGTGTGCTGCCTGTGTAATAGATATTCCAAATGTGGTAGATATTCGATACGCAGATCCATCTCCTGAGAGTAAAAAAATTTATATTTCATATTATAGATTTTTAATGTTAAATAGATCAAGTAAATAGAATTCGAACCTTGTGCAACCAATATATCTGAACTCCCTTCAATAAATAGTAAATCGTTTATTGCTGCTTCATTTCGTTGAAATATGAATAGATTCTTTCTGCAATCAAAATTTTTCGATGTTACTGTTACTGTAAATATCATTATTAAAATAAAGGACTAATTTCAAAACTCGTTAAGTTACCTTAGATCTCGAATATCAAAAAATTCAATGACACCCTCTGAAGATCCAGCAACGATTAAATTACGATTGGGCGAGTAAGTACAAGAATGTAAAGATACGTTTCGATAGGAACTAGTCGAGAAAATCTATAATTTTCAGAAGATATAGAAAAGTTATTGTTATCTCGCAACTTACTTAATTTAATAGCGTAATAATTAGTTACCTCAAATAAACACAAATATAAAAACAAAATACCTCTTTCTTACTTCGTAAATCAATCCCAATCACCGTTCCATTACACAACGCGCCAACAGCTACCTTATCCTGCGTCGCGACCTCACGTGCATCTATTATAGTTTTGTGTCATCAGGGCAGTCATACATAATAATAATAAACTGAATCTCGAGTTAATAATTAATTTCTCAATATTCTTTTTTGGTTTCTTGTGTAACTTTAAAAAAAGCCCTCACGCACCAAGCTGGTAGTCTGTATTACGGGAGTACGGCAGATCGGGTGTGAATGTTCCTAGCGATATTTTGTTAATGCTAGATTCGTAGTGACCCACTGTGCTTAGGATGCTCGAGGAACCTTGATTTGTTGTCACATACAATATTATAATTAATAATAATGAAACAATCATTTAGAATAAACTACTAATTACCACAATCCCATAACTTTATTGTTCCATCTCTCGAAGCAGCTAATAAATAATAAAATAAGATTATTGAAATTATTAATGAATTCCAAACATTAAAAGCAATAAATATCATTACATACACAAAATGTTTCTACCACGATCTATGATAGCAGTATCAGTGACACCTTTTGTATGACCTTTTAGCGTGACAGGGTTACTACCATCCAATGCGGACCAGATTCGTAATTGGAAATCACCGGATCCGCTTAGAATCACTAAGATTTTTATTTATTGATAGCAACAGACAAGTATAGAAAAATTAATCCTTTAAACTAAAAAAAAATTGGATACATATAAATACAATATGTATCGCTTTAGAAGTTGTTGAAATTGATTACCTTGTCCCGATGGAAAAAAGCGACATGTGGAAATATCTAATACATGGCCTATTAATTCTCGCTTATTGTTAAGTAAAAAATAATAAAGTTAAAAAGCATCTTATTTTCAGTTGAAGAAAAACAATTACAATAATTTCAATAGTAATAATAGACAAACACATACCCTCACACTACCATCACTCGTATCACCAACTTTAAGCATTCCCTTATTGTCACCAGTCACAAATAATCGGCCACCAGGTGAAATATCCATTGCGGTTATCTATGAGCAACAATTAAAAAAATTCAAGCCAAATCTCAAATTTAAATACTTATTGTAAATATAAAGAAAGTAGACTGATATGATCAAGTTATTTATACTAATAAGTAAGCACAAGTAAAAGAAATGATATACATTACCACTTTTGTCTCATGAATATTTTTAAATGTCGATTTCGCTCCTTTAACAATCATTCGATTAACTCTCATTACATTACACGATAAATAAAATGAATACTATTAATTATAAAAGATGCGGTTAAATAAAGATCCAAAATATAATAATATAAAAAATAATGCACACAAACATTATCAATCTTTTCAACGTCCACTCCATCTTTTCCAATAAACTCTACACTCGACGGGTCGTCAGAAACATTGAGCACCTTCACTGACCCATGAACAGAGGCAGCACCTAACCCATAAAAAAGTATATACATGGATACAGAAGGCCCACATTAAAAAACGCGTGATTTCGCTAAGAAAAGAAAGATCTCAAAATATATAAGCTATCAACCTTTATTATAACAAGACACCCAGAATGACTCTGACCCCACAGCCCCTCGCGCAACATCAGACACAACTTCTACCCAGTCGGACTGAACGGTAACTTGTGTAATATGATAAGGGTGACTAAGTTCGTTAGGCATTTTTATCTTTGTATGAGCTAAAAGCTACAATTATTATCTACGCGTGATTCGATTTCATCCTTATCCAATCAAAAAAATAGTTAAAATCTAAATTTTTTAGTTCAGCAAATTGATGTCACGAAGAACGTTTGAACGTGTCGTGTTCGTGACTTTAGGTGCCTTAGGTGCATTTATTGCAATCGCTTACCACGATCTATACCAACAGCACCAACAAAGAAAACAACAAACTACAACGATAAAATCTACTATTCCTAAACCACAACCTGTACCTCCGTCGCCTACAATTCCTTTAGCACAAAAAATTCGCGCTGCTAAAGAATCTATTTTGCCGTTTGGTTTTCCTGGTGAGTGGTGGTAAGCAAATGTAACATTAATACAATCAAATTGTTAACATAAGATAGTCTTTGTATTGAACTGACTTTATGTTAAATATCATCACAATAAGGACCAATAACTGACATAATATACAGAACTGCATATATCAGCTCGTATAACCGCCAATTTCGCAACCCAAATTGGGTGGGTAATTACTAAAAAAAAAAACAATTACTGGAAAAAAAGAATTGCAAATTTAACAAAATAATGGTGTCTGAAAATTTTATTAGGTAGCCGAGCACATAACAAATGAGACGCTTAAACGGGGTGACGGTGTCGAACGCTCAAAGTCACATTTCAAGGAAGATACCAATATCCCAGAGAAATTTCGAGCCATGCTAAAAGATTATTTTAAATCTGGGTATGATCGTGGTCATTTGGTCCCGGCTGGTGATGTCAAATTTTCGCAAGAAGCAATGGACGAGACTTTTTTTTTGACGAATATCTCACCTCAGGTATTTTGTTCATTATTGCTTGATATATGTTGTATTTATTTCAAGACTCCAAAAATATTTCGCTCAATAATAGGTTGGTGATGGATTCAATCGAGATTGTAAGTATCTTATAACTATCTCATAAAGCTTATTGATTATGAATTTGAAGATTGTTTAACATACAAACTTAATACATAACATAGATTGGTCTCTTTTAGAAGAATTTTGTCGTCGCCTAGTCTCTAAACAAGGATTCAAAGACGTATATGTCTTCTCCGGTCCACTATACCTTCCGAAACAAGAAGACGACGGAAAATGGTACGTCAAATACGAAGTAATCGGCCAAGGACACAATGTCGCCGTCCCGAACCACTTTTTCAAAGTGATTCTCGCGACCAGGGACAACCAAAAATACGCACTAGGCGCATTTATACTCCCGAATAGCCCGATACCAAATAGTGTCCCATTACAACGACACGAAGTTCCGTTAGACGTCATTGAACGAGCAGCCGGTCTCACGTTTTTCGAGTTGCTTGACAAAGAGACGATGGTGCCGCTTTGCATTGCTACTAGTTGTGTGCTTGTGGCGAATCCTAAATATTTGCAGGAAAGGCAATCGGTCCCAGAAAATAGTTAGAAGATTTTCGCAATTTGTTATTTTATTCGGGCGAAAATTTCATTGTTATAGGTGACTATACTTTTTATATTCATTACCAGTTTGACTTTCCCAAGAGATTTGGTTAAAGATGAATTCACAATAGAATTGCAACATTTTACTAATATCACAATTGGTTGCGATTAATTGAGGCCTATTTTAGTAATATATTGAAATATGACTTTTATTATGACCTATCGCTATATAATTGATTACATTATAATGTACTGTATATCTCCGAAAATAAGCTATATATGAGTCATACAATACCGATACTAACTAGCATATTCAATAGTATAACATTATTAGTCGAGTGGATTTGATTAATGTTTCTTTTATTATTTTCTTCTAATTACGTAGATTTGTTAATGTTTGATGCAAGAGAATTCTTTAGTATCTATTTTACAAAATGGTTTTGTTGACAGTTCCTAATTTAAAGTGAATGTTTTAATTGCAACTTGTACACATTAGTTTTAATTATAGAATATTGGAGTCATTATCATTTGTTCTCTTATAGTTGATTTTGCTAATATTGTTATGATATGAATATTTAGTTCTTATTTTATTGGTTAATTCATATCATAAATTTAATTGGATAATATTCTATTATATTTTATTGGTTAATTTTATATTTATATTTTATTGGATAGTTATTTTTAGATAATTATTATCTTATTGGACAATTATATATTAGATATTATTGGTTCTTAGATTTGTGTTAGTGCCAGCAACGCCAGCAACACCAGCAACACTAGCAACACTTGTGTTTAATTAAATTAGCGACAACAACAATAGAAACAAGTAATTATTCTTCTATTAATATGATTATTATTATTTAATTGTTGTCTTGTTTCAGTAATTTTTTTAAAATAACATTCTTTTTTAATATAATCTCTTTTTCCACAATAGTTGCAAGTTATAATTCGGTTATTGTTATTATTATTATTATTATTACTATTATTGTGATTATTATTCCATTGTGTTGATTGATTATTGCTGCTATAAGTCAGTTATTTCACTGTTTTGGTTAGTTCAGCCAAAGTTTTTGTCAAATTATTTTGTGAAGTTATTGTTAAAATTATAGTATTTGAAATTGCAATATTTTGAACTGATGAAGATATTAGAAATATGGTTTGATATGAATAGTGTTCCTATGAACCGAACCGAACCGGACTTTTGCCCGAGTTCGAGTTCGGTTCGAAATTCGAACCGAACTCGAA